AACTTATTTACATTTTGATACATGGTCAGAAATGCCTCTGTGTCATAGGTAAAATACAGAGCATCTTCCTTTTGCCTCAAGTGCTTCTTGTCCTTTAAGGGATGAGTAGGGGTTAATTTTTTAAAGACTAACTCAACTGCATGATGAAAATTCCTCACATTCACACTTTCTTTAATTATATATTTATAGGCTGTTAATTGAGTCAGACATATTCTCTTCCTACCCCGTGAATCTCTTTAAAACCTAATTCAGCTTTTAGCATTTTGAAAAATAGGTGGGAGAGTGGGTGGAAAATGCCATCTAGGGGTTGTGCATTTTTGAAAATTAATCTTCTTTGTATGGCTAATGCAGTTTTTCTGCAAGATAGGAGTTACTTAAAATACTGTAGATGCTTACTCTTTACTCATTAGTAGAGAGGTTTTAATTGAATTAATTTTGGTAAATTTTGTTATCAAGCCAGTGTTATTGCCCTCTGTCAAAGGGCTATCAAAACAGATTTTCTTCTTTAAAATGTCTTTCCCCGTCTGACAAAGGAAGTCCAATACATTGCAGTCCATTTATAACACCAGCCTCTGAATCCAAAAGATTTCACTGGCTTTTAAAGAGGTTGTGTTGTAGGACAGATTGAAGACCAAGTATAGAGGTTGAACCTCTCTCAACCGAGACTTCCTGGTCCTTGCTGGACCACAGATATTGCTGGACCAGAGAGACCCAGTGGAGGACCAAAGTTGTGCGGGGGCTGGGAACCCAGCCAGGCTGGCTGCAGGGAGGCCAGCAGCTGGGAACCCTGCCGCGGGAGTCCAGCTGGGCAATTGAAATGCCAGTGGACTTCGCCAGGGGGCCAGGAACTCTGGTGGAGGGACTGCGGGGCTGCTGTAGCAGGGCTGGCGGGGCATGAGCTCTGCAGTGAGGCTGGTGATGCTCCAATTGGGCTGGCTGGGTCAGGAGCTGAGCAGCAGTCTGCCACAAGGGGTGAGAGGTGGGAGTCCTGGAGGTGGGACTGTGGGTTGGCAAGGCTGGTGTTGCTGCAGCAGGGCTGGTGGGATTGGGAGCACTGGTGGTGGGGCAGTAGTTTGCCATGGTGAGGCTGAGTGCCTGTAATAATGGATGTAAAAACAGATCCAACCTGTAATAATCTTCCATTGGGGCATGTTAGTAAATAATGACCACCCAAATCAATAGATTATTATTGGACACTTGTAAAATACTTTTAAAAAGCACAGCTCCTGATTGGATGATTGGGGGAATTTTTCCAGCATACTTGACATGGCATAGGCATGTACACCTAGAAGTATATGACTCGGACCTCAAGAGTTCAGTTACCCATTTGTAGAGAGCCCTGTGGGAAATATTATTCTTTCTGTTCACATCTAGTTCATTTGCACAATTTTTTTTATTTGTGTCCCAGAAGGGTGGAATATATTCTCATGATTTCAGAAAACAAGTGAAAACACTGTTTCTGGAAACTTAGTATGTCTATAAAATGTGTCTAGTATAAGCTAGTTTGAATAGATCTGTATAAATGTTGTGTTTCAGATGCACATGTTACAGTTCATAGGCTTACAAATTTCTGATTGCTTATTTATTCCAGATACACTGAAGAGATTATACCCCAGCAGCCTTGCCTGAAACTTATTAGTAACTGTGAGCAGATGCTTTCCAGTCACACGTCAAGGCGCTTGATAACCATGGAAAAGGTGAAAGAATTTGAGGTAAATGGTTCTGCGAATGGCAGCTGTTAAATGTGAAAGGTTTGCTCTATTTGAACTGCAAAAGGGAATTTATTGTATTATAACCACCAGATTGGTATTCCATACTCGATTGTCAATTCTGCTATTGTTGATATGTTTTTATGTTGAACTAGGGGCTTTGAAGAATGCCACATCTTAAAGACTAAACACAAGCTTGCTGCTCACTTAGTCTGCAATGATTTAAGGTAGTTTGCGGGATTTCTTACATTTTTTATACGTTTTTCATCCAGGGCAAACTGGTTTCCTACAGGTGAGGGCAGGATCTTTGAGGGTAAGTTATTTTTTTCAGAGGTGATGACTTCATACATTTCCTATTGACTTTAGTGGGGATTGAGAATGCTTATCTCTGAAAAAATCTGGCCCTAAGTCACTTTTTTACCCACACCCCCAACCAGTCTGGAAGTATAATATTAGGAAAGAGATATTTAAACATGGGAGGAAAGCTAAGTCAGGTTAATGGGATATTATTCATAGCGGAAACGTGTAGGAGCTGAGCAAGCACTTCTAGTATTTTCTCAATTAGATGTAAAAAAACCCAGCCCAGTATTGGAGGCAGCAGTAAAAGGTGGGAGCCGGTCCACAATGGGGAGCCAGTTTAAAAACTGGCTTCCTGCACAGACTGGTTCCCACATGCCACTCCATGCTGTTGCCACTGATACTGCGCAGCAGCGTGGGGTGGCAGCAGCTCCTGTCCATGGGGGATATAGAGGCAGCAAGGAAGGGGGAGGGGGAGTGTGTGTCGTCGACAAGATTAATCCATATACCTGGACTTACTGGCTAATCATGTAACTATGTACATGTAGACACATTGACATCCCTAGTGGAGATGGCGCTGAGCTTGGCTTAAGGTGCATCGACTCCGGCTACGTGATTTACATAGCTGGAATTGTGTACCTTAAGCCAACCTTCCAGGTGTAGACTAGACCTGGCCTTAGTAATAAAAACAATTCCAGTTGTTTATCTCATTAAGTTCAACAGAAATTCCTTTTACAGATAAAAAACACAAGTAGTCCAGGAGCACTAGACTTTTTTTTTTTTTTAAATTACAGACTGACATGGTTACTTCTCTGAGAATTTTACTGATAATAGATTTTATTTTTTGTAAATGTGCAATAATGTACACACACAGAGCAGATCGGACAAAGACTTTACAAAAATATACTCCAGTATGACGCCCAATGGGTAGTACATTTTAAAAGGGAACATTTTGAGCCTTAATTGGACCAATATGCCTGATAATTACTTCGCTCCCTTCCCCCAAATAAATAGGCATGGCTCTGTTGAAGGTAGGTCAATAATAGCCAGTTAATAAGTTATGAATCTGTATGAAACAAAAACCGAGCAGGTGGCAGAACAAGAAGGAAAGCAAGTGACAGAAGAAGTAGTAAAATTTGATGGATATGAGGTGAGTTTTCTCTGCCCTTGATAAGGATCTAAAACCATTCTAAAGGGGGTTTACAGCATGAATAAATGTTGTTAGTGCAGACTTTTTCACACAGGGTGATATGAGTCTGTCCTCATCAAGGCTGATGAGGCAGAGTTTTGGTTTGGCATCTGTGCAAAAGTACCATAGTATGTCTGATGGTGAAGTATATGAATGACTGCTTCTTCAACAGATACACCACAGACTTCATAGATTCTGTATAGTCTGGTTGAACCAGTTTTATTGGATACCAGTCTTTTGTTTTAGGTTAGCTGTAGTTTGACTTAAGTTGAAGCGTACTTGATGTTGCACTAGTTAGTTTCCAAGTTTCACAAGCAATCTGTTTACATAATGTGGGGGAGGAGGAAACAAAAGTCAGTTTTATAGTGCATGCTTTGTATTTTTCTAGTTCCAAAGTAGCATCAGATGGAAACTATGTAACTACAAATTAATATGGGACATAACAATTTCCAGCATTATTACAGGAAGTATTCTATGCGCCGTATCTATTTAAAAGATTGTTTTGTTTTTAAATTCTTTTTGCAATTAATTTGGGGGAGGTGTTGTGGCTGTTCTACATTTTTTTTCTAAAACAGGGTAGCTTCTAATTTTATGGGGCTTGTTGAGTCACCCTGTAAAATACTTTGGGGCATATACTCAATTCCACTTTCTGTTTGAATACTATTCTGTGTAAAGTAATTTATATCTGTTTTGATAAAAGCTTGAGAACAAGAACAGTCAATCTGTACTCTTGACAAAATATTGACAAATCTGTAGAGTTTTACAGGACAGGCGCTGTTGACCACACTTGAGTAATGTGCCTATGAATTGTGTGTTAAAATGGGAAGAAGAGCTAGACTGAACAAATGACTGCCCATGAAAAGACTTAGGAGCAAAGTGTTAACAGATTTGCAAAGCTGAAGGTTTCCAGCACATGATCACTCTAGACATCTTTATTGATGTTGAGTTTTTTTTCTACTATATTTTGCAGCATCAGTTGCTAGATGTGACCATGTTGTCTTGTTTGAACTACTTGCTGATGTTTATAGCTGTCTAAAATTTGTAGAAGGGTTTCTACAGCTACTGTCCAGTTCCAGATGTAGAACACTGGGAAGCTGTGATAAAGGTAGGAGGATTTTTTAAAACAAAAACCAGACATGAGTAATTACCCTGAGGCTGAACTGAGGCCCACTAGTTTCAACATAAGCCTATTCATTACATTTGATATCTGCACATATTTTAAATTAAACACAACTCTGTTTATAAACTTTAGTTCTTTTCCCTCCTCCCTTGCCTATTTTATTATGCTAGAAATATATTGCACCATTTTTACATTATTCTGTATAAGCAAAACTAATGAGAAATTGCATGATGAAGAAAGTTGTAAACACTCGGGTGGCTTTCACTTTGACATGAGCCTTGCTGGCTTTCATTTATTGTAGGATGCATCATAACCCACATGAGGATAAATGCTTATGTAAAACATTAGTTTAGCTAAAAATTGGTGCCTTTGAGGCCCAGATAAATCATGGTCGATACCAATGGTGTAGAAGGAATCATCAGAGAATGATAGTAGGCTAACGGATGGTGTAAATCTGACTCTTAGACCACATCTACAATTCGAGATTAGATCAAATTTATTATTTTTCTGCTCGATTTTGTTAAGTCGAAGGTGCCTGTCCCCACTTCACAAAAGAATCTGACGCTATTCAAAATAGGTCAAAATAGCATGTCCCCAGTTGGGAGCCTACTGTCGACTTTGAGAGCGATGCACTGTTGGAGGCTATCCCACTGTGCTTGTGTCCATTTGCATTCTGGGTTAAGCTTCCGGTGGGCACAAGGACCAAAATTGTACAGTGTGTGGTTCTACGTACATGTTGTCAGAATCCCATAATGCACTCATCTACTCACGCCACTTGTGCTTTATTGTAATGGCAAACATTCTTTTCGTGCCCTTTCTTTACCTGTCTGCCCATGCAGACACCATAGCATCATGAGCATAGACCCCATACTGGAGCATGTTGCACAGCAAAGCATTATGATAATGATGGTAAGCATTTTGTGTTTTATGCTGGAGTATACCCAGAGGATATCAAGGATCTACCGGAACAAGGATGAATTGCAGGAGGTAATGAACATGCTCCTATGCAAAGCACTTGAGTTGAGTAACTTGCAAATGTTTGATGCTCTGGACACAGAATGCAGGTTCTATTGCTGTCAGACACGGCTGGTGGGACTGCATTATAATGCAGGTATGGGATTATCAGTGACTGCAAAACTTTTGTATATACAAGTCCATTTTCATGGAACTTTACAAATTGCTTTCCCCCACCCAGAAGTACAAGAAAACAGAATGAGACCTACTCTGACAGTGAAGAAGTGCATGGCAATTGCCCTCTGGAAGCTTGCAATGCCAGGCTGCTAACGGTCTTTTGGAAATCAGTTTGGAGTGGTAAAATCTACAGTGGGGCTGTTGTGATCTAAGTGGCCAAAGCAATCAATATCCTCCTACTGCGGAAGGTAGTGACTCTTGGAAACGTGTATAACATAGGGCAGGGCTTTGCTGAGCTGGGGTTCCCCAAGTGTGGTGGGTGATAGGGAAGCGTGTTCCATCTATCTCGGACCCGACCATCTTACCAAGGAGTACATAAACGGCAAAGGATATTTCTCCATGGTGCAGCAGGCCCTGATGGATCACAAGGGCCATTTCACCGCTATAAAAGTGGGATGGTCTGGAAAGATGCATGATGTGTGCATCTTTAGGAACTCCTGTCTGGTCACTAATCTGCAATCTGGAACTTTTTTCCCAGACCAGAAAATTAAAATTGGGGGCATTGAAATGCCAATAGTGATCCTAGGAGACCCAGCCTATTCCTTGCTCTCATGGCTCATGAAACCATATACGGGCAGCCTGGAGCACAGTAAGCAGCTGTTCAACTATGGACTGAGCAAGTGCAGAATGGTACTTTTGGACGTTTAAAAGGAAGGTTCTGCAGTCTACTGACTAGGTTAGTAAAAGCAACATTCCATTGTGGTGGCAACCTGCTCTGTGCTCCATGCTATTTGTGAATGCAAGGGGGAAGTTTATATGGTAGGATGTGGGAGGGGGACAGAGGCAGAGGGCCTAGTCACAAATTATAAGCAGCCATACACCAGGGCCATTACAAGAGCTCAATGAGGGGCAATGATAATCACAGACGCATTGTAAGATGGCTTTATGAATGGTCAGATTTGAGAGTTGTGAATGTTGCTCTTAACGAGGTGTCTCAGCGTTCAGTGTGCTTGCCTCTTCATCCTGTCATAGAATCATAGAGCTGGAAGAGACCTCAGGAGGTCATCGAGTCCAGCCCGTCCAAAGCAGGACCAAACACAACTAAATCAACCCAGCCAGGGCTTTGTCAAGCTGAGACTTAAAAACCTCTAGGGATGGAGATTCCACCAGCTTGCTAGGTAACCCATTCCAGTACTTCCAAACAGGATGGAGAGAGGCTGTTCTCAGTAGTGACAGACGGCAGAACAAGGAGCAATGGTCTCAAGTTGTGATGGAAGAAGTCCAGGTTGGGTATTAGGAAAAACTATTTTACTAGGAGGGTAGTGAAGCACTGGAATGGGTTACCTAGGGAAGTAGTGGAGTCTCCATCCCTAGAAGTGTTTAAGTCTTGGCTTGACAAAGGCCTGGCCGGGTTGATTTAGTTGGGATTGGTCCTGCCTAGTGCAGGGGGCTGGACTTGATGACCTTTTGAGGTCTCTTCCAGCTCTATGCTTCTATGACTTCACCAATCTCCTAGTGAAATAGTTTTTTTTCTAATATCCACCCTAGACCTCTCCCACTGTAACTTGAGCCCATCGCTCCTTTTTCTGCCATCCGTCCCTACTGAGAACAGCCTTTCTCCATCCTCTTTGGAACCTCCCTTCAGGAAGTTGAAGGCTGCTATCAAATCCCCCCTCACTCTTCTCTTCTGCAGGCTAAACAAACCCAAATCCCTCAGTCTCTCCTCCTAGATCATGTGCTCCAGCCCCCTAATCATTTTGATTGCCCTCCCCTGGACCCTTTCCAATGCATCCACATCCTTTTTATAGTGGGGGGCCCAGAACTGGACGCAATATTCCAGATGTGGCCTCACCAGAGCCGAATAAAGTGGAATAATCACTTCTCTTGACTACTTGATTAAATCCCTGCATTTTAACATCCCTAGTCCCTGACCTGTTGCTTTGTTTAGCAGGAAGCAGGGAAAGAAAAGGCACAGTATTTGGAATCTGCAACTAACAGTTCACTGGTACAAGGGGATTTTATGCCAACTCTTTAATTGTGTGAAATCTGCTGTGCTGCAGATTCCATTCACTTTTGTGACTGTTGCACCCACTGTAGGGTATATATGAAGAAAGAGCCTCTTAGAAAGTTGGCAGCGATCTTTTTGCACGATTAGAGGTTGTATAGACCTGCTGATTTTAGCCATTATTCAAAAGCATATTTTAGTTAACCATTATATTCTGGCCATTGTAATTGCCTAACATTCAGCAAAAATATTAGTGAGAGAATTGTTTCCGGAAGATCTTGCATTCAGAATATTACGACCGTTCAGATTTTACCCATTCAGCTTGTCATTAGATAAGTGATTGTCACATTGGGACACAACTAACAGGCCAGACTGCAACTAAACAGGGCATGTACCCCAAGTTGGCAGTTTATTCTGTCATAAAATTTCACTAAGCCTGTAACAAATGTGCACTTCCAAATTACTGCACTAATTATTATTAAGCCACAGACAGCTCTCTAGCCCCTTATGCATCACCCAGACAAACCTGACTTCTGTGGTAAATGATTATTTATTACCAGAAATCATATATAGTTGATTCTTCCAGTTCAAGTGAATCACATGTTCACCCCATGTCAGTATGTACTTTAGGGTATCACTGAATAACATGCTTAGGGTTGTCAGGCATCCTGTTTTAGGTGCTGCTAAAAATCTGATTGGCTACCGTGGGGCAGGCAGCCATTGCTCAGCTCAGTGCTGCTCTCAGGAAGCAGTTGGCATGTCCCTCCGGTTCCTAGGTGGAGGGGTAGCAGGAAGGTGAGGCTCTGTGCACTGTCCCAAGTGCTGACTCTACAGCTCCCATGGGCCAGAAACCAATGAGAGTGGTGGGGATGGCACCTGCATGCAGGGGTAGCGGGTGAAGCCCCCTGTGCCTAGGAGTCAGAGGGACATGCTGGCTGCCTTCTGGGAGTTGCTTGAGGTCAGCATTGCCCAGAGCCCCACCTGAAGCCCCCTCCCATAACTCAAGCCCTGCCGCAGCCCAGAGCCCCTCCTGCACTTAGAACTCCTGGGCCCCAGCTAGAGCCCCCTCCTATTTAATTCATTGGACAGTGAGTTCTAAAATGCCTAACCTGATATGATTAGCATAATTACCATTATTACTTTTATTACCATATTGTGGTTTGTCATTCATTAAAGTGGTACAATCAAATAATAGTACCCTTCTAGAATGTAAATTTAGATTGCAATCACTTTAACAGTGCCAGTTCAAAAAAAAAAAAAAAAAAAAAAAAAGCCAAACCCATCATTCCTAGCTCTACTCTGGAGCCCTCTGCCCCAGCCCAGAGTGCCTTACTGCATCCCGAATCCCTGACCCCACAGCCTGAACCTTCAGGCAGAGTCCCCACTCCTGTACAGGCGTTGATTTCAGAGTTTGTAGATCAAGATTATAGCAGTGATGTTAAATCTGTTAGCTTGTAGTAAGTCTCTCTGAATCGATTGGGGGTCCTGGGTCTTATATTCAAAGCTTCCCTTTGTTAGAAATCATAGTCCAGAGGAGCAAGTGTAACCACCACCAGGCAGATTTGAACCTGGGACCTATGGTACTGCGTATAGGAGCCTCTACCCTCTGAGCTAAAAGCCAGTTGCCTCCTAGCCCATGCTGTAGAGGTCTCTTGGTCTTAACTGTTGCTGTGGTCTAGGTACCACTTGCATTCCTCAGTAACCACACTAGAGGCTATGTCTACACTCGCGGCTTCTTGAGCGAGAAATATGCAAATGAGGCTAAGCGTGGAATATCACTGAGCCTCATTTGCATACCTAATGAGCCGCCATTTTTGCAGAAGAGGCTCTTGCGCCAGAAGGACTTGTCTACACTGCCCCTTCTTGTGCAAGAAAAACCTTCTTGTGCAATGCCGTTATTCCTGAAAATAATCAGCAATAGCGGCATTGCGCAAGAGGGTTTTTCTTACGCAAAAAGGGGCAGTTTAGACCGCTTCTTCTAGCGCAAGAGCCTCTTCTGCAAAAATGGCGGCTCATGAGGTATGCAAATGAGGCTTGACGATATTCCACGCTTAGCCTCATTTGCATATTTCTCACACAAGAAGTGTAGACATAGCCTAGGTGTGTGGGTTACAAAAGAAAGAGGCCAGGAGATACCACAGACTCCAGTTTACACACCCCAGTCCATGTGCATGGAATGTTACTGTCTTGGACATGGAGCTAGGGATCACATACTCTAAGACAGGAGTCGGCAACCTACGGCATGTGTGCCACAAATGTCATATGAGCTGGGAGCTCAGTCCTGCCTCTCCTCCCCATGTACCCAGGAACCTGTGCCAGTGATCCCTTAACGCATGTGCCTATGCGGTGACACACACAAAATTCTAATCTAAGTCCGCCCACCTCCGTAGCAGCACTCACTTTCCTCCTGTTCTGGAAGGTGAGTGTCATGGCTGCTGCTCCCACTGGGGGGGGGGACGGAGACGGCCTGCGGCCACATTGGGAAATGGCTGCTCAGGTGGCCACTGGCAGTCATGGCCACATTGGGGGCCGGTTGCCATTGGGGCTGAGGTTGCACTGTAGCTGCCTCTGGTGTTTTGGGCGTAGAACATACGGCGGGGGGCTTGCTGCCATGGGGAGGTGTTGAAGCTGCAGGTGGGGGGGTGGGTTGGAGTCAGGAACGCCCCCTGCCATTGGGGAGTGGCTGCTCGGGAGGCTGCTCTGGCATGCCATAGGTTGCCGAGCCCTGACTCAGGCTTGTGTGCTGCTTAAAGTATCAGACTATGAGCCTGAGAACTCAGCAAGGCAAAGCAAGACCAAGGATCACGATAAACGGTAAGATCTTCGTCTTAATTTATTTATTAATGAATCTGCTGTAAGTAGGACTATTATTGAGTTTAAAAAGTATCAGCGGCACGCTGACCCGTAAATAGAAGTGAGTAAGTTACATCTTAGCATGCCACTTCTGAAAGGTTGCTGAACCCTGCTCCAAGAGCCATGTAAGTCATTGGGCCTCCATTGTTCATATGCTGGTTACAACATCCGCTGGAGGGGTCCACTGCAAGAGTTGATTTTCTTTAATGGCTCATCAACACATGCGTGGCTTGCTTTATGTAATTCTTTCTTGTGGGTGTTACCAAGGAAAACAACATGTTTGAGATACAGACACATAGCAAAGATTCTTAACTTTATATGCATGTATTATTGTATATGAACAGGACAGCGTTGTTTAACAGATTGTATCTTTTTCAATGATACCTTACAAGTTATACTTTAAAAGATTTATCACAGTTGTGCAATAGTGGTAGTACAATAGTGATAATACCTTAGTGTAGGGGTGGAGAACCTTTTTTGGGTCCCCTCAGCTTCGGGGGCTGGATCCATACAAGTCTGGAGGCCTGAGGTTCTCCACCCCTGTCTTAGTGTAAACACAGTAAATTTTCTTTTTATACAATGTCCAGTACTGGTGTTCTAGGCAAAAATGAAATAGGCAACCTAAATGCACTAACCTGTCTGTTTAGAGTCTTAATAAAATCAATGTTAAAATAAGTTTTAAATATTAGTTTCTCAGCCTGAAATCAGGAATGAATGTGATGTTGATCATTCCAATTCTAGCTCTTTCTCACAGAATGATGTCTATTTTGATTGGTAAACTCTCAGATTTGGAACAAAGCAGCGTTAGACTTTTTCCTTTGTGAAGAGAGCAGACTGTAACTTGTGCTTGATCAATAGGTTGACCACTTCCTTTAATCTGTTAAGGTAGGTCTACACTAGCCCCCTACATCGATCTGGGGAGACTAATGAGGGGGACCAGAATTGCAAATCAAGCCTGGGATTTAAATATCCCGCACTTGATTTGCATGTTCCCAGCCCGTCGCCACTTTAGAAATTGACTAGCCCGAAGTAACAGCCCACGTCTACACGCAGCAGTGAAATGGGATTCCGGAATAAAGCTCTAAATCGAATACCACCTAATTCGATTTAGGGCTTTATTCCGGAATCCTGTTTCACTGCCGCGTGTAGATGCGGGCTGTTACTTCGGGCTAGTCAATTTCTAAAATGGCGACCAGCCAGGAACATGCAAATAA